TTTTGGGCGGCTCCCGGCGAATCTGCCTGTTTCGGGCCTAAGGCCGAGAACAGCAACAGGAGAGCCCGAACGAGGCTCGAGAGCACCAAATCAGCACTTTTGGGCGGCTCCCGTGGCGAATCTGCTGGCCTCGTTCTGGGCCTCCCGTTGCAGTTTTGCCCGCTTGCCGGTCGACGGCCCAAAACGGCAAATTTCTGCGCAAAAGAGTTGCAACGGTACAGGCTGTAGCGTTTCAAATCGGTCAGCTTGGCAGGCAAGTCCAAGCCCCCCATTGCGATTTTAAAAAAAAATGCCCGGGGCATTTGGGCCCGCCCCCCACACCCCCTGATTGCTAAACAAAGCTTAGGTAGAAGAACTCCAGCCAGTGCTTTCGTGATTAGAGACCCCTGCGGCTTCCACCCCACGAGCCTCCAGTAGCTTCGGCCGGTCTCGGCACCCATCCACAGCGATTACTTGCATGCCGGCCTCCGGCTGGCTCTGGCAAAGAGGGATCCACAAGCCGCAAGAGCGGGGACTCTGTTCAGTGACCCTGGGGAAAAAAATTGGAACCCTTGTTGGGGAAGACCGGATTTTTAGTGGGGCAGCCACCAAGAAAAAGGGAAACAGAATAGGTGCCACTGAACAACTGAGGTGAACTTTCGGCAAGAGGGCGGCACTTCCCCCTAACACCAAATCAGCCGCATCCCCGAAGCGCACCCCCCCAATATACTCGGCTGGGTCAAAAGCATATGCCTCCGAAATACCACTTCAGCTAGGTGTGCACTGGACCTCAGCAAAAGGCCCCCGACCAAAAATGACATTGTGGTCTATCCCCAACTAACAACTTGTTGCATCCGTTGTCACACCTCAGATGCCCAGTGGCCAGGGGAAAAAAGGGGCATCCGTTTTTTGGTTGGTTGAGTTTTAAAGGGAACTCTTCCCCAAAAAAGCAGAAAAGGGCACCACTGGGCAACTGGGACACACCCTGATCAATTGGTCGTCTCTTAATCACTCGACCCATGGCTTTAAGGAGGCCTCATCTTTGCAACTGCATCTTGCACACGTCTTTTTTCCCCCAAGCATGGAAGCCTTCTGTTTGTCTCATGCGCCATGGGCACCATATCGAGGTTCCAATGGAGCCTCAACGTTGGATTCGGAGAAACGGACACGAGGCAGGACTTGGTTTTTAGGGTCGCCAGGCCAAACCTTCCCTGGCGCTGCCTTTCCTTGAACACGGTGGACGCGGTTTCTCCCACACGACTTGCTCCTTGCTCTTTCGGACCCCTTCTACTTTAGCCCTTGAGTTTCAGAACCTCAGCTTCTGCTCCCAAAAAATAGGTTTGCTTCCGGTCCATAGTGAAACCTTACGCATCTGCGACAGCTGCAAAAGAGATCCCAGGCACCTCAAAACACATCTGAGGTACGCAGAAAAAATCATATTGTTCAGTGTCTGTCCCATATTTGGCATATCCTACCCTACAGTACAAAATCCATGTTTCTCGGTTGCTTTCTGCTCCCCTGCTGAAAGAGTGAATAACTTTTAGTGGTTGAATGGATTCCCATTAGTTGGCAAAAAGTTAAAGTACAAACATCCCTTGGCAAAATGCAACAAAGGTTTGGAGGAGACACCCGAACACCGGTGAAGAGGGGGGTCCACAGGGGGGGTCAAGCTCACATCTCACCGGCGCGCCTTGAGACCGGCGACGTCTGCCAGACCCTGCGCAGACATCACCACCAGGCCTATGGCCTGTCGATGCCACGAGCTTTCTGGCGTAAAGCTGTGGAAAAAAATCCAGGGGTACCTTCCCCATTCTTTCCAGGGATCCTTCTTTCTGGAAAACCTCCGGAAACCCAGGGAAAACGGATCCGGTTTTTGGAAAGAACCATGGTTGAAAAGAAGGAATGAACCCCAGAAAAATGGATTCCGGTGTCCTTTTTGGATCAGGTGAAAATGGGAGCCTCAAACCAAAACACAGAGCCATGTCTGGGGTTGGCTCCACAAGTAGTCCCCCCAAACAAGACCCATTCGCGCCCAGAGTCGACAAAATAAAGGGATCTGGGGTCCCTTAGGGGGTTCCTGGTTACTGTTGACCTTTCTACAAAACGTTTAACTTTTTGTTGGTTTAAGGGAAAACTCCTTGATTTCCCAACAAGTTAAAGTCTAAAGCTCCAACCCAATAGCAATCACCGAATCATGCGAAACCGACCAAAAGCCAAAAAAAAACGGATCTGCACCTTAGTCGGTGGTTCAAGGTCAAGCCAAACTTCAAAGTTTGTTCACCCAAATGGCTGGAACCCACGCACCTCTGTTCAAAACCCCCGGTGTCTCTCTCTCATACAACGCCCATGGGCGCTGGAAGATGCTCCATGAAAACGGGCTCCAAGAAACAAGGAGATGGCACTGGAGTTTCAAGTAGCACCAAGCTAAAGAGCCAGGGCTGGATGGGGTTACCCGCCACAATTGGGGCTATTTCGTCTAGATATTTTGCTTACCCGCCACCCCAGATTCAGACACCTCTTGGCTAACATTGTGTCCCCGTTTTCGAGGAACCCTTCATAGTTCTCGAAAAGGTATCGGGGAGAGACTGGAAACAAGTGTACCACTTGTAGGGTATTAAATGCCGGGAGGTACCAAAGTGTTCAAAGGTACCCAAATCCGAATGAAAGCCCAGTGATCTTAAGTGACACTTGCTTGAACCACCTGTTCCCTGGAAAGGTGGGGGAAAACCCCAAGACCTGATACATCCCCAGTGAAAGCCCTTGGTAGTCGCGCGCCTCGTGCTCCGGCGCTGTGAGGCACAGCCCCAGCGGCAGCCCGGCCCGGCGGTGCAGCTTTCTGGGGAGCTGGGCGAGCTTTGGGCGCGAGGCCGTTTTGGTCGAGCCCCCCACAGCTGTGGGAAATGGAAAAAACGCGAATCTGTAGAACAAAAGGGCCTAAAGACTTTACCACCCCCGTGGGAAAAACAGGGGAGTCCCAAAAGTATCACAGAAGTGGTTGGATAAACCCCGAGTGATCCCACAACCCTGCTGTGGATGGTGGCGAAATCCACTCATTTCGCACCACCGTTCAGAAACCCTGGTTTCTGAGGATTCATCTGTAAATACCCACAAACACTGGTTTCAACCATGGCTTCAAAGTGGTGCAGGATTTTGTCCATCCACAGTATGAAGCAACCCCCCGTATGAATAAACCAAATGGTGAGGCAACCACGCCAGATATGGGGTCAACATGAATCCAAAGCCACCAAAACCGCGGCCAAACCCCATCATACTGTGGATGGTTGCGAAATTCATTTCGCACCGCGAAATGACACCATGGTTGAAACCAGTATTTCTTGGTATTGATAGGGGAATCATCAGAACCAGGGTTTCTTAGGTGGTGCAGAATTTCATCCATCCACAGTATGATGGGGTTTGGGTCACCGTTTTTGGGTGGCTTTGGATTAATGTTGAGCCCACACCTGCCGTGGTTACCTCGCCATCTTGGCTTTGGTGGGGATGTATCACTCTTGGAGGCCCCCACCCCCCCATTAATAAGATGGTCAACCTACTGCACTCATGAAGAACCATGGCCCATCGGTTTGGAAAACCCTGGGGAAACCATAGTAAATACCTATTTCAGTCTTGTGGCGACAAAGAGGGAGGAGTTGGAGCAGGGGGGAGGTAAGTTAAAACCATCACCACAGTTTCCATGGTTGTAATCTGTCGTCGGTTCTGCGTTTAGGGATTGTTTTCGGGTGCGTTTTTTTTGAGGGGACCCCCCAGAAAGGAAGCAAACCGCCATCGCAACTTTTATCGTTTAGACATGGCAGCTCTCATGAGCGGCCGGCGTGAGAGCGTGAGGCCACTCCTTACACCGTTCACAAGAAACAGTGAGGAGATGCTCACCAAATACAAAGTACGCTTTGTTTGCCGTGTGATACCAAAGGGAATTCCGAATTGAAAAGTCATGGAAATGCCCATGTAGTATGTCACAATAAAGAGGCCCCAAAAATGGTGGCTAGGGGAAAGACGCACACCCTAATTTCCATCGAATTCACATCAATTGGCGCCCAGCCGTCGGGATCTTACACTGTCCCCAACAGCGGGGGGGGGGATCCCTTTTGGGTTTTTTGCAAATGGAGCCCGGGGGGGGTGTCTTTTGCTCTGCCTTTGAAGCAATACCTCAAACCCGACACACCTCTAGGTAACATGTGTGTGTGTGTGTGTGTCTACGGTGCCAAAAGGAAAGCATCTATCTTTGGCGAACCCCTTTTGACACATCCTGATGGTGGTACTCGGGGCTCAAGGACCCCTTTTGCAGATTCAGCACTGGCTCAGATCCCGTATCCACGGCCAACTGGCTTCTTTCTGTTCACTGAGCCGGCGGCACAGTGTGGAGCGACGGGCTTGTGAAACCTGCACGGGATCTCTGGCGAATTTGCGACCAATTGGGAAACTAACCCCGCCACCCACCTTTTGGATGGTCACAGGGAATCTCAACGGAAACCTACCCCCCAACTCCTACTACCCACCTGTTTTATTCTCGCGGGAAGACCCAATTCACCAGCAGGGGTACCTTTTTGGTTTACTCCATGATAGACTTCAAGCAAGTCCCTTTGTGGGGACATCAACCACCCCCGAGTTTCTTGTCCCCCTGCCTAGCCCCCATGACATTCGTCCTGTTTGAATCTTCTTTCTGGCGTCACTCTGGAACGACCCTCGCCGGGCCTAAGGTCACAGCACCTTTCATCTCCAGCAGCACCGACAAGATCCGGGCCGCGTCCTTGCCGCGACAGACGGGCGAGGGGTTCGGGATGCACAGGGCAAACAAGGTTCACATGGGGTGCCGTGCCCATGTGATGGCACCGTATTTGGGGGTTGGACACCACAGTGCGATAGTCAAATGTGGAGTATGGTCATGGCAGGTGTCCTGGGGGAAATCCATGGGTTTCTCTGCTGATGATTAAACCACCAGGTAAACTAGGAATCGCCATCGATCTTTCTACCAAAACCACCAAAAAGGACATGGTCATGGCTCCGAGAGTCGGGCCACGATCATCGCACATATGGGCTGAGGGGAACCCTCAGAATAAGTGTCCTTTTGCTTTTGGTGTCCCTTCCAAACAAGCCCCAAACGGGTAAACACCACGGGGCGAAGTGCATTGTAGAAAGAAACAACCAAAACTTCCGTAGAGCTTCGCAGAATGCCGTCAGTGTCGCACCCTCGATCGTTTGCGGAAGCAAATATGTGCTTCGAACATTGACGCGGCAGCTTCAGCGGCGTGGCTCCTGTGCGCAAGCCTGGTCCACCCGCCACTTAAAGTGGTCCACCCCTTGCTGTGTCTGGTGTATGATATCAACCCCTGACCAAACAAATAGATATTAACCATGGAAGACCTGGCTGTTCAAGTTATACACAAAAAGAGAGAATATTGGCATGAACGGGATTTGCTTATGCAGTGACTCTGCCCACGCCGTCAATTACCTCACGCAAGCGGCTTGCCCCATCAGAGTCTCCAGTCGTTTTTGCACGAGGTTCCGTCGGGCAGTTTGCTACATGGTGACCTCCTTTTGGCGCCAAAGGGTTTCCAGACTTTTTAGATGTGACCACGCCTTTTCTGACCTTCAGCTGGTGCCAAAAGCGATATACAGAAGGCCTGCACACGGATGCGTTGAGTGAAGTACTGGGTCCCCCCCAAAAGTACGATTTGGAGAATCTGATTTGGGCGATCTTTTCTGGGTTCCAACAAATGGGTTCCAAACGGATGCTGGGGAAGGCACGCGTGATGGGGGGTCCGTAGTTTGGACCGACTGAAATGGGCCCAGAACCGGCACCCAGGATCGGGAGAGGCTCAAGTCTCAGGACTGTCCAACTGCAAAAATTCGGGCACCGAGGATTCATTCCGACTCATCTAGGGGTGTCCCATAGATGGAATCCGGATCACTCTTTGGGGAAGCACCCCAAAAAGAGAGGTTGCTTGATCTGTCGGCTGAGCCTGGTGGGGGAACGGCCTGCTCCATGGGCAATAGGAAATGCAAAGTGGCGAGCATGTTTGCTCGATCAGCTCACGTGAGTGTTCCTTGCGAGGGCCTTGAAGGGGGCAAAGTACTTGGTGAGTTGACGAGAGTCACAACCCAAAGCCGTTCTTGTGAGTCCCCCTTCCTTGAAAATATCACCAGGGTGAACCACTTACAGGCCTCCCATGCTTACATCACCCAAACGAGGAAACTCGGCATGGGCCAAAGGAAATATGAGAACCCAAGGGGAGATGGCCGCCATCCCTTCACGCGGAGCTTCTTCCGGCCTGTGTCTCGTCCACCGAGCGCAGTCCGAGCCCGGGCCGTAATTTCCTCGACTGGGAAGGGTGGGAAATTGGTTTTCAGGGCAAAGACTAGGTCCAGTAGAGAGGTTAGAATAAGGGTACCCGATGGGTGTTCGAGCTGTACAAGTATGGAACATGATCTGCGCCATTCTTATTGAAAGCAAGACCGACATCATCTGAAGTGTTCCACGTTTCATATACATGTGCACTATCCTCTTCATATGCTTCCAACTTTGCCACCAAATGCGCTTACAGGGATGCCCCGCGACATGTCGTGATTTTGCAAGTGAAGCCAACAGACATAACACAATCTTTCGCCAGCGACCAACACGCCTGGCATTCGTGCGGCATTAGCGATTTACGTGCTTTGCATCCTGCTTGTGCGTTGTCCACTACCATAGGTCTGCATTGTAATATTATGTGGCATTCAGTCAGATGCAGATCCATCTGTGTGGTTCATTAAGCATGAAGACGGTACTGTCGCTGAGATGTTCTACGTTGACAATGCACTGGCCGTGGCCAAGTCTGCACAACATGCTGATGCAACTGTGTCTCTCATTGGGGAGTGTTTCAAAACCCGTGCTTTGGACAGCATATGAAGGACACAATCTGACTGCCAGGAACCATACGGGGCCCGGGTTTTTTCTAACCCCTGCGTGGGGGGGGGGTTGGACCACAAACTGAGTGGTGTCCTTTCGGGTTCAAGATTATGGGGTACCAGCATGGGGGGATCTCGCGGACAATTGAACCGGCCCAGAGATTTCCGTCTTAAGGAAACAAGGAGATCAGTTTACGCTAAACATCGTCGAATTCTCCCACGGAACACTCCTCCCCCCAGATCTAACTTCAAAAGACATCCACATTCAGGAGAATGGGGTTGGGCGATTCAACCCGTTAAACATGCCTCTAGTTTAGACCTGCTTTCGGTCCCCCTTGAAAGATGGCCAGGATAGGGTGGATTAAACACATGCCCAATCCTGAAAACCCATGGCGGGTCAGTTGATCCATGGGATCCGAATCGGGGGAAACACCCAAGAGAACCCACCCGCTTGACTTTAGTACCAGGGTCTTAGCAGACGGTTCAAAGAGAAACACCAGAACACCTGCAAGCCGCGTTTCTACACTTGTGGTCTGAGGCTCGTAGTATCCCTCTTGTACGGTGCACTGTGGCTCACGGTGGTGGACAACTACCCGAAATCTGTGATTCCAAATATGACTCATTCCCATGACTTTGTCAGGGATCTCAGTTGGTATCGCAGAAAGTCGCCTAAAACCCTCTGGATGGACGAATAATCCAGAACGGATGAAACCCTACAGGAAAATAAAAATATTAAAACAAGGTTGATGAACGACCTAGTAACCGGAGCTGTTTTCGGATTGTCCGTCAGTAAGTTCCAAGAGGGGTCCAAAAAGTGAGGTTGTGGGTTCCCATTCCGGAAAGCGAGCCCCAAAAAACTAGGCCATAAGCCAAGGGTTCTGATGACTTTGACCCCAAACCGTCGAATACTTGCCTCCCCCCCACAAAACCCCCGGCCGAGTGATTCCTAGTTCCCTGATTTGACTCCCCCCCCAGATTCCCAGTGATTCCCAGTTCCCTGACTTGATCGACCCCGCCGTCGATGTCGGTTTCGCTCGCTCGAGTTTGGCGCCTGGAAGGCTCCGCCCACTTGTTCCACTTCGCCGCTTGGCCGTTGGGCAAGACTTTGGCCACGATGGGAATCCTCGGAGAAAGACTCGTTGTCCGTCCGGACCCGCAGGGAAATGTTTCGGCTCCGGTCCCCGAGAAGGGCAAGAATCTCGGCTTTCCTTTCAGGTTGCCCGGATAAAACAAGAAGCGGAAAACACGAATCAAGAAACAAAACAGGTATGGCACCGTCAACCATTTCACGCCCATGGGTTGTTTCCCTTCTGCTTCTTCCCCTGTGACTCTCAACCGAAAGGAGTCCGCATCGGAGAACCTGCCAGATGAGGACCTTCCCCCTCGGACTACCGGGAGGGCTCGACCGAACCTCAAGCGGCTTGTTCGGTGACTTAGCCCTTGTAAGGATTTAGGGCTTGGCCAATCCTGGAACGGATTGGCCTGCTTAGGAACAGGAAGCCTTTCAGAAACCAAAGGGGTTAGAGGATTGCCTTTGAATAGCTCTCTTGTGTACACAGGAATCTCTCAAGAAAGCAATCCCCAATTAAGAGGTACCCCCCTTAATGCCTTAATGATACCTGGTGGGTTCCAGTCAACAAACAGGGTTCCCTATATGCCCGCCTTAAACATCACCCCACCAAAAGGAAAGTCAAATAAAAACGGCAACCTAAAAGGTGATCCCTAAAGCTAGGAATGTGACAAACAGGAATCTGGCATCCCCCTGGAAGAGAGCAATATCAATTGAGCGGTACCCCCTTTCCCAAAAGGTCTCACCCAAATGGGAATATAAGGAACCCTGACCAACAGGACAACTAGGTCCTCCAGTGGACAGGTTAGAATAAGGGTACCCTTTTTTCCGTAGTCTATTTGAGTAGGGAAATCCTCCCCAAATGAAACGGTAAAAGGGCACTGAGGGACCTAGACAAACAGCCATCGCGCCAAGCTGCGTGGGGTTCGTGGTATCCAGCTCCAATCCAAAGGTGCCCTCGGTCAGCCGAGTCATGATGGCTACTGCCCCCCCAAGTGCTTCGATTTTGGTCGGTCAGGCTGCAAAATCGTAAGCTCCCAATAAGTTTTGAAATCTAAAGATTCAACCAAACTGCCGCCAAGTGTCGCAGGGTACCCGGTTTCAGGCTGATTGAAGAAGAAATCGAAAGGCAAACCACCTCGCTTCTTTTGGCGAGTCCCTCTTTCTTGACACACACACACACACGCACAGACGCACACACACGCGCACTGTACCCAATTGATAAACTCGGAAAAAGAACAACGCTTGCTTCCGCAAGAAACATGTCTTGCGCAAGAAACAAGGGCTCCCAGCTGGTTTTTGGACAGCTGGCGTGGGTTGTGCTTGAACCCTGAAACCCGCCCTCGGGTGCTGGAACCGTCTGCTGCTGAGGTGCGAAATCCACTTTCCACACCTGCTAGCGGGAAGCTTGGTTTAGGCCAAGATGTCCCTCTCCCCACTGACACGGGGGGTGCAAAAATCAACGCAAGTGGCATCTCCCACCCTTTTGCACCTTCCAGAACCCGACAACGCCCGGACCCACTGCCATGGAAGTTTGATGAGTAACCCCATTTCCCAATTGTGTTTTGGTGAATGTGCCCCATGTCATGCCTTTGCTCAACACAGTAGATGACAGTACATAAAGGTCATGTTCAAACCCCAAGCAAGCTAAACCGATTCCTGCAAAACCGACCCCCAAATCAACCGCTAAGATTGTCCACTCGCCTCTCAACCTCTTTATGTTCATCCAAACTCGAAAGTTTCAATTTTGCTTTGGGGCGCCTTGCGGGTCACATCGGGGACTGGAGAACGGGTTTAGCAAAGCCCCCCCCCTCTTGGTCGTTCAAGCCTGAACCCCAATATTTGTTTAATTCGTCTTGGTTCATTGTCAAGGGCCAAGAGGGGTTCCTTTTGTTGCCCGGGCCAAGCAAGCGCTGCGCCCGCTTTTCTCCAGCCGTCGCTGGTCGCCTGGCACATGGACTGAGCTGCCGGAATCGACAAGAATCGAAATCCCCCGCGTGGATTTGGGGCAACACCCCAATATCACACACTGGGTACATGAAGGCAAAACCTAAAGGGCAAAAACGGCGAACTGGTCAATTGCTCGAGTCTGATGCAAAAACAAGGTCTACCCAAATCCATGTCCACAATCCGAAGGGTGGACGCTCGCACCTGTGGCTGGAAAAGTGCCTGGAAACCTTCAACACGGGTTTGGAAGCCAAGGACACCAAGCCTTTGAATACTATTTTCTGGAGGTGGCTTTTTCAAACGTCATCAACAAGTTGGAGACACTTCCACCGGAATGGGCGCGCCTCGTTCGCGCTCAACTCATGCCTCAGCGCAGAGGGGCTGCAGGTGTGAAAGTGGACAGCAAAACAATGTCCTTTTTTTGTGGGAATGCAAAGGGCATGATTAAACTAAAGCAACAAGGGGTTCTGACATCTACTTTGACCCAATTGTATCTCTGCGGCTGGGCAGTTTTGGGACCGGGAATTCTCCTGGCAAACAAAAGGCCGGACTTCCAAACATGTGCAACCCGCAGCCCCTAGAGAAAGCCAAGCCACATCCCCAAAAAAACCATGGGAAGGAACTTCCTGCAAAGGGATATTTGAAGGTTCTGAAAACCTTTCTCGGCAGTTGTGTGGGTCCTAACCAATCCACCAATCCACCTTTCTTACATTCCCGGGTCGCTTTTGAACGCAAACCTTAGCTCGTTAGAGGATCCTAGGCGTTAGATGGTGTTGGATCAAACATCTCTCACCCAGAACCCAACGACTGCTTGGTGGACAGCTTGTATTGGTTTTGGACATGGGAAACAGAAGTCGTCGGAAGGTGCTGGACGTTCCCGTGCGATCTCTCTCCCTATACCTCTCTCTCTCTCTCTCTCTCTCTCTCTCTCTCTCTCTCTCTCTCGTGAACAAGAAAATGGCTTTTCAATTGCGCCGCGCAAGTTAATCCCGCTACTGTTTATATTCTTGAACAACCAGGTGTCCCATGGCAAATGCCTCCTTTTTCGTCACTTGACTTTGAGGGGCCAGAACCTTCCTCCCAAAGCAATTCGCCCATTCCGTTGCTGTCAAGAAGATAGGATACTTGCCGTGCAACCAAAGGCTTGCGAGGCCTAAGGCCCTTTGGCTTTCAACAAAAATCATCCCCAACAGCAGCACGCCCGCTCGTGGAACCCTCCTCGGAATCGTGTCTTGCGTCCCCGGAATGCTCATGGAACCCTTGGGAAACCACTGGGTGCCAAGTCAGGGTGCTAATTGCACATGATGTGTGATCAGGACACAAACTGGGGGTGTTGGGTAAATTTTCCAGACCCCGTAGTGGCCCACCCAGCTTCACACTAAATGATAGGTTAAAGGGAAACATCCCCGTTTTCTGATTTTGCCGAAAAGGGTCGGTTCCTTTGGGCTTCCCTTTACACACAGAAAAGGGGCGGGGCAATTAATGAAACCCCCCGCCCCATCACCCATCACCCACTGAGCACCCCAGCGCAAGGATCGCCTGACTCTTCGATGTTCTGGCGTCTGCGCCTCATCTCCTCCTGACATCCGCAAATCGGCGCTTGACTCTGGTTGTGTTGCTGCCCTCCCACCCTTTTCACATGGAACCTGACGTTTGGGGGTCCTGGAAGACGGCTCTCCTTTAAAGGGACCCCCGAAACCACGAGAGAAGACACGATTTGGCTGGCCCCCATCCCGGCTTTGACACACACCCAAATGTGCGTTTCTCGACATAGGAACCCACCCCAAACAGATGGCAAGTGCTTCCTTGTGGCCTCTCTTTGAATATCAACAGTTCATGACCATCCCGAACCTCAAGCAAGCGAGTCTTGATACTTCATGGCTTTGTCTTCAGAGAACCTCCACAATCAATAATCTATGGTTACCCTTCGGCTAAACCAATTTGTCTTGAGAGAAGCTCCAAAATCAATGGCTGCAATTCGGTTCCCTGAAACCAACCCCAAAAAACGCATCCCGCGCCCATATGGCCCACTAATTGCCCACTTGCCGCCTCTGAGACGTAGTGGTCCAGCACCAAGAAGTCATTCGGCCTTCCTCAGATGGACAGCGAATTAACCACCGGGATCGCGAGGGAGGTTTCGCTTTGGTTCGAGATTTAATTTGGGAATTCGTTTTTGCTTCCCAAAACAAATGGCCCTCCTTTCCCTTTTGCCAGCAACTTGTGGCAAACACGGCGCAAAACTTGGCGATCTATGTCTGAAACCCGCGTGATTCGCCAGTTAGGTCTGTCGCAACATCGGGGAAGCCCAAATGGTCCCGGCCCCCGGGTCACCCAAACGGCGTTCTCCACAAGCCAGGCCCAGCGCCCGGAATGATCCCCGTCCTCCCAGCTTTGTCAAGTTCCCGAGTTTCTCTGGAAAGCTGCTCCCTGTTCCAACCACCATGGAAAGACTTGGGTTTAATATAACCACCAATTGCCGAGTGGTTCATCCAACCCAAGAAGCAGCCCTGAAACACGTGGACAGGGTTTCCATCGTCAAGGCAACCAAAAAGATTGGAGTTTCCACATTGGTTCCCTTGAAAGCAAAGATAATCCTCCAAAGAAGGCCACAACCAAATGGGTATCACAATCCTTCTCGTGCGCTGGTGCAACGCGTGCAACCACCTAAATTCACTGATTTACGAGTTCCAACTGCCCCAACAGCACAGATCTTGCGGCTCCAACCATCAAACTGATCCAAGCGTCTGCAGGCGTCGCCCATGACAGACAAGGGCATGCTGAGATGTTGATGCTCCACCGCCTCCGAAGACGTGCTCCAAACCAACCGACACCCCTTGGACCCCAGTGCTTTGGGGGCGACCTGGAAAAATGCTCAAATTCCGAAGCCCGGCAGGAATTCGTTAGTTGTACCCGTTCACCCGGCTGCAATGTCGGAATTTCCGGAAACATAGTCGGGCGACGGGTGGCATTTGCAGGTGCCCCGAGGCGCTTCGAACCATGAACTCAAAGCCCCTTGCCTCGGCACTGAATATAGATTCTAGGGTTACCGGTTTGGGGCCCAAAAGGAAACAACAAACCGTCCAAGTGCGCTGCTCGCACATTTTCACGCTTGAACAGCCACACTGCGGATGCAATAGATGTTAAACCCTCAAACTGACCGATTGAATTCTTCACCCCCCTCTGCGTGTTAAAGGGGCCTTTCACAAAGCAGCCAAACAGAAACACAACAGGGGGAAGAACGGTCGGGTTTCATCTGTACATGCAACTCCGTGACGGGTGCGTTTTCAACGCCACCGCCAACTTGACTGTTGGCCACTGCCTGTACTGCCGCCCCAGCTGCTCCAGCCACCGCTGTACCAGTCATCCCACTCCGTGCTGCCCCACTGCTCGCCCTCGCGGGCGGGAGAAGCATAGGAGGTGTTGGAGGCGTAGCGCGCCGCATTGCGGGCAAGATGCCCGCTCTCACTGCGTGAGAATTCGACTGAATTCCACGCGGCCCGCTCATTTTGCCTGAAGACCCAGTCAAGCTCTTGCTGAAGCTCACCTTCGCTTCGGCCGGTCAGGTGAATCACCCCATTCCAGCAACCGATGCTCCAAGGCTTGTCCTGATCCAGCACGATGTGAACGAAGGCGCGGGGGGAGTATGGCATACCTTGGAACATAATGATCCAACGCGACGTCAGTGCATCTCTCAGCTGCAGGACCATGAACTCGAGCTCCATCTTTACGTGCGCGAGCCTTGCGATTCGCGACTCGGATGTTGATCCTGAACCAACACCAAGCGCACGCTGAGCTCCATGCGAAGCATATCCGCCTCACGGCGGCCGGCCTCAATCATCCTCACTCTGTATTGCAAATCGAGCTCATAGCGGTCGATGAGAGAATGATAGCCGTTCTTCAGAGCAGACTTCAGCTTCTTTCGGCCTTCCTGAATCACGGCGCTGTCCGGGGAGTTCAGGCCTCTGACGATGCTGATACGATCCTCCTCGCGGAGGTCGCTTGTACCCACTGACGCTAGGACCTCTGCAGTAATGTGCGTGCTGAGTCCCATCTTCTTGAGGAGGTTGGAGCGCTGCTTGATATAGTTGCGCTGCTGATCCTTCAAGAGGCGTTGGTTGAGGGGAGAGAACTGTCCGCACGTAGTGCAATTGACCTGCCCCTCAAAGATATCATTGTTGCACACAGGACACTTGGCGACCTTCATTTCCAAGTTCTCCATGGGATTGAATGTCTTCTGCCTCTTCGCATCCCCTTGCGGGGCGCAAGGTGAGGCAGCGTTGGTCCTTGTCGTGGCAATTCTTTCCAAGGCCATGCTGCGGTCGTCGGCAACCGCCTGCTCACGCGTCATTCCCAAGCTGTCATCTTCGGCAGATACTGCTGTAGCATCTGCTTCTGATTGCTCAGAGCGTGTGTACCATACGTCTCCGTTGGTGGCGTCCAGAACTGATAGGATGACGTAGTTCGGGACTTTGTCCCGAGTGAGCACACCATCCGGCTCCGTCTTGAAAAAGCATAGACCGGCCCGAATCGCCATGCGAAGATCGATCTGAATCTCGAGCGGGCGATCTGCACGGACACCTGAGATGTAATGGTCGCTTGTGCTTGGAACGTCTGCAAAGTAAACATGTGGGCGTCCGGTCTCATGCTGGTCTCCACCGCCAGGCACCAAACCATTGCGCATGATGCTTGCAAAATTGCGTTTGTCCGTGCGGTGGTACAACACCGTTGGCGGATCATTGCAAACGTCCAACCGGCCCACCGACCGAGGTCGGTTCCAGGGTTGACATACCACAGCTTGGCAATCCCGGAGTCGTCGATGTTGAGCCAGTCCTCATGCCCCTGGGAGGCTTTCACTTTGAATAGCCAATGAGAACAAGGGACGTCTCCGCACCGGCTTGCGTCCGGGCAACCAAGTGCAATGAACCTCTGCTTCTTGTCGAGCTTGAAGATATCCATGATGTTTTGCATGTTCCATGGAATTGGATGCCGCAGCTCCTTGCGGAGCGCGAAACCCAAATCTTCGAGGTCCATGTGCCCGTCCTTGTCCATACGATAGCCACACCCCTCTGTGCCTCGGCCCCTGAGGATCTTCGAGATACAGGTCAGCGATCGATGATATCTATCATCAATGCGCCGGACGGAGGGATCGTAGTCGAACTTGGGCTGCTTGACAACCACGAGCCGTTTTGCACCTTCACCGTAGTCGACATAGTTCTCGCCCTTGTAGGTGCTATAAACCCAAAAATCGTAGTGACCTCCAGTCTCATTCCGGCCATACGAGTCAAGAGGCTCAGACTTGTGGACCACCTCGTCCTTTTTCGCCACCGCAGCTGCCTTTGCACCGGCTTGCGCCGAGCGAACATCTTGAACGATGTCAGTGCCAGCGGGATCGGAGGCAGGAGCAAAGTCAGCTGGATTCACCGGGGCGAAGTCAAGTGGCTGTCTGTTTTCGACCTCTTCCTTTGTGAACGGCTGGCCGACCATCTCGGACAAACTCACTCCACATTTTGTAAGCGTCTCCTTGCAGTACTCGAGAACCTCCACGTTCACTGTGCTGTCATCTCGATTGCGTTGCTCGTGCTGGTCGATGGGACGCACAGTACAATCGTGCGTCTGGATCAGCTCGGCTACGCTGCCCATCGCAGGGCGCAAAATCGAAAGCATAAACAGCATGTGATGTGTTCCTCGCATAAATTGTACTGTCTTAATAATGTTGTCGTCGCTGAAACACATGTGGTATCTGTCCAGGAGGTCAATCGTCTCAACGAAGGGAGTAGCATCCACGTAGATCATCATCTGACTGGGTTCATTGATGATGAAGTTCCGCAGCTCGCTCATGAAGCGATTGCAAATCATGGAAAACCCGTAATGAACGCTGCTTGCACCAGTCATCACTCCGAGGCATGCGCAGCCCTTGCGGGCCGCGAAGTTCATCGTCCACAACAAATGGCTCTTCGTGTCTTCAAGCATCTGGATTGCGTCACCGTCTGGTGAATCGTACGGGTAGGTGCCGCTGGGCTCGAGACCACCTTTGCCAACCAATTCGCTGCCGTTCCTGCTTACAAAGCTGCCGAAGGCCTTTCCCCCAAAGCATCTCGGACTTCCATGCACCGACACGCGCCGGGCGAGAAGTGTCGAGGCGCTCCTTGAAGTCGTACTTGCGGAGCTTCCGTTTGCCTCCGGAAACCATCGAAAGTCCCGAGTCCGCAACAGTGATGTAGATCACCGCATTGCGGTCAGGGATCTTCGGAGCACCAACAATCTTCAGGTAGCTCGGAAATCGTGAGCAGGGGTGTCAGCAGCCGCAAGTAATGCGGCTGGTCCTGGATCCACGTGTGGATCAGCGACTGCGAGGAAGTCGATTCCAATAGCCCCTTCACCGCCGCCGCCAAGTTGCTATCGTACTTGGCGTTGGTGCACACCGAAGTCGTGGCGATGTTCTCCATCCATCGCCTCCATGCCGGGTCGCAATCCCTCGCGGGATGCGCCATTGCCGCCTGGCCACTCATTGCGAGGAAGGAGCAGCTCAGTCACTCGAAAGTAACGGCTGCATGGTGGCATGTTCGGAGAATGCATCATGAACGGCGTCGGTGTAAACATAAGTGTATCCCTCAGCTTCCTTCAAGTGAGTTCCACGGCTTTCATCATGCTCATGAGAACCATCACATTTGAAGTACTCAACAACAGAGATAGTGGGCATATTGCTAGCGACAATCCACTGCTTCTTCATTGGTTTTCCATTTCTCCCTTTGATACCGATTTTACAACCATGGAATTCATATTTGTTCATCTTGTACTTCGTCAAGAAACTCCATAGTTCAGGCCATTTCCAATAACGACAAGCTTTGGGAAGTTCGAACGCAACTCTGATGTCATTTGAATAAACATCATTGAGAATGCGTTTGAACCCTCTCAACAAGGATCGAAATTGCTTGACATGACCCTCAATTTTGGCGGCACCTTTGGGAGTTTGCTGGTTGACATAACCCCACGGGCAACCTCCAGTGCATGGCAATGAGACGTAAAACATTATGGCGCCTTTAGGATTCTTGCTTCTAAATTCGGCAATTTCCCGGCTCAACCACTGCCTACACGCGTCGGAGCACCCATCTTCTTCTTCGGTGACCCGGATAACACGGCAACCTTTTGAAGAGTCTCTTGATTCGCCCAACCGTGAGGTCGTCGCACAACAGAATTCAATAAGGAGACGCTTGGGCTGAACGTTGCATAATGCAGCGATCTGCCCCCCCCTGATCGCTGATTTTTCCGGCCTTGGTGCACGGGGTGTGCAGCAAACTGGTGGCGCAGGCTCGCGCCTGGCGACTGGGGGGGATTCCGATCAGCTCAAGAGCGTGGTGCCATACCGGGGTACTGTCAAACGCCTTGGTCAAGATGTTTGCAGCTTGAAGAGTGGTGTCAACATTGATTAATTCAAATTGCCGATTCACGAACTGCTCCTGGAGCCATCTGAAGCTAATGCGTTGGGTTCTATCCGTATGCCTTAGTTTCTGAGAGTGTCCTTGCATCGGATTTCATCTAACTCGGGATCAATGCGAGCAACAATGCTTTCGGGCACATCAAGGGAGGCTTTGCCGGCCTTTTGAGCATACCCATGTGCTTCCTTTCCAAACAGGCTGAGCTGACAGAATAGCGACAGAGTCGGCAGTCCCTCTGCTCTGAGTGCCTGGTTCGCAGCTATGACCCCGGCTTCAGTTGAGCTTGTAGCGGTCGCTGTCTGCTTCCTACTGAAAGCATTCAGTGGGTAATATGTGTTTGGTCCTACAAGTATCATGGTGTATAGTACTATGCGAATCATATTCGCCTGCCCAATCCGCGTCAGCGAACAACCACAACCTGCAATCAGAGAACTTATCCCCGAGAAAACCCCGCATTTTAAGGTCCTTCGAGCAGTGTATGTATGACACAAGTCGATGTAGAGCGCTGTCGCACTCAGTGGACCATTTGCTCACACGCGAGGCAAGGCTTTGTGTGGCTCTTAGCAGGTCATACCTAGCCATGCGGGCTGCGAATAGAATTTTCATTAGTACCTTTGCAGCAATCGTGTGTAGCCTACCCTTTGGCTCCTCTTCACTTACGACAGGTCTCGCGACCTTCGAACGAATGAAAGGAGTGCTTACCTTGCTCACCGATGAAACGTTTACCTTGGCAAGTTCACAATATGATATGCGTCAACGCATGACTTGAGAAAATCAGACATGTCGTACTCAACAATGTTGACTTCTCTGGTCATACAACCGACAGGTTTATCGCATATAGTTTCAGGTCCTTTGAACTTAGAAACTTTGACTTCTTTCTTAGCCGCGGTCTTGTCTCTCATTGATCCAGGCTCTGAGGGCAAAGCACACTGCAAAGCTGCTTCCTGGTTCTCGCCATAGGAAAACACAGTACGTCCGGTCCACCACGCGGTGTCCGCAGAAATGCGATCACTCGCGTGATGCGACCACTCATCGCAAATTGGGCTTGTTTTGGATTCGTCTTTGACTGTCACACGCTGAGGATCAAGGCTGCATGCGAATGCACTCGTTTGCTCCTTAGAACGGAAAAGGCTTTTCCTGGGCTGCAAGTGGTAACGTGTCCACGTTTTCGTGTTCTCATCATGCTCCCAGTAGTCTTCAGTCCTTCTTTGGGAGCAAACACCCGCGTGTTGCGCAGAACCCTCAAACACATGGCTGAAAGGGTGTTCCTCCTTTGACAATCTCACACTGTTCTTTTCGATGTGATGACACCCAAAGTATCGGCCGAATGGTTCGGGCGCGTCGATCTCGACAACCTTCCCGATCAGATCCCATCCCTTGTCAAGGCTACCGGCAGGTCCTGCGAGCTTGAAGTCATCAACGTACACAACAAGCAGCAGATCAAGTTCCGGATGATGGAAAATGGATGTCCATATTTCGGGCAACACTCTTACGAAGCCTTGCTTGCCTAGGGCATCTTCAAGGTGCTTTTCCCAAAGCCCCCCTGAATCGGGATGGTCCTGCAGAAGCCCGTTTTGGTGGGCCATCATGTCAATCGTCCTGGCGTTCTTCGCTTCAACACGGGCAGTGTCATCAGCGTGCTTAGCGGCTTGCTCCTGAAGGAGCTGCTGGGCATCCGCCAGGGTGGATTCGATGGCTTGCCTAAACTCAGTTGTTTTGCGTCTCATTTCCACTTCATGCGATGCTTGGGCGTTTTCCTCACACACTTGGCTCATCCTAGCTTCAGCGAAGTTCACTTCTTGGATGAACTCGTCGCTCACTTGCTGTTCGTATTCACGAATTCTATGCAACTGGGCTTGCGCACACTCAGCGTAGTGTGCGTGCAGCTGATTCTGTGCGACACGGAGCTCCTCACGGTTTTCCGCTTGCAAATGCGTAACAGCTGCTTGATGCAGGGCTTCGGCTTCAGACCTAATGGCTGCATCATTCCCAAAAGCAAAGATTGCGGCATTGTAAAGTTGAAGGGAATTCATCAGGGTGCGGTTATATTGCGCATTGGCGCTCGGCGCGAACATTCGCGCACCGCTGCCGGTGGCGTTGTCGGAGCTAGCTCCGACAGCATCCACAGGCATGTTAGATCCATCAACTGGCACAAGGGAACCGTCCATTGCTTAGAGCTAGGGGCCTACGGCTGATAACCTATAGATTCTAGGGTTACCGGTTTAGGGCCCAAAAGGAAACAAACCGTCCAAGTGCGCTGCTCGCACATTTTCACGCTTGAACAGCCACACTGCGGATGCAATAGATGTTAAACCCTCAAACTGACCGATTGAATTCTTCACTGAAACAGCTCGGCTTTTTGGCTCTTTCTCGGCACACGAAAAAATGCCGCCAACTGGGTCTCCGACACATCTCGGGTTGGAACAAATGACCAAAAAAGTTCAGGTCTCTCGCTGGGGGGAGGCCTTTTCAACAGGATGGCTCTGGTCTTCCAAAATGTCCGATGTCCACAACTTGTCTCACCCTGAATAAACGCCAGTTTCCACTACCCCCCATTGCCCTTGCCGAGAATTGCGATGATGTCAACCTCGCAAACAAAACGCGCGGGATGTCACCTCAACACGCCTGGCATCTCACGCGGTCTCTGAAATCCGAGCGCCCTCTTGCCTCCAGCCAAAACCCCACCTAGGCCAACCGAGATGGAAACACCCGACCAGAGAATCCTCGAAGGCTTGAGTTCCCATTCTGCCTGACGGTCTTTACTGATGTCTGCAACTCCGTGAGGATCCCATCCCAGAAATGGGTGCCCAATTTGGCTTCTTGGGTTGGTGTATATAAAGGAAAAAAAAACTCAAACAGGAGAACCGAAATCCATTTTGGGGTCCAAATCTCCATTTTGACACGAACGCGAATGGCGGTTGATGGAAAACATTGTGATAGATAACATGGGTGTTTATCAAAGTAGGAGTACCCCCAGATAGAGTTGCTGTTGGTTTCCCTTTAAATCGAACCGGCAAAAATAAAAAGGGGAAACAAAACGTACTCAAAAAACCACAACACACACACACACACACACACACCCTCACATTGTTTGGAGTGACCCAGGGCTCACGGCAACCACCCAAAAAAACAAGGGATTTTCCTGGCCGAAAACGTCCGGCGGGAGGAGGGAGCCTTACATTGGGACCCTCGTGGCAAATGGATGCAGGAAAGCGCTAGTAGGGGAAAACGCTAGTAGGGGATATTTGTTGGGGGGATTTCGGGGTGCCTTGCTAGTAGGGGAGCAAATGCTTGCGGCTCGAAAGGACACCGTGATTGAAATTTGATAGGAAAACCAGCATCTCATCTCAACTGGTGCAACTGGCGTGGACTTTGCAAACCACCCACAGTAGAGCGCCACTGCAACCATGAACAGTTGAGGGGGCCATTCGTTGTTCGACGCGCAGCCTGCTTTTTGGGCCACAACATAACCAGCAGAATGGGTTGCAGCAACAAAAAGAAACAGTCAGAGCCTCTGAAGGCGAACCACCTGGAGGTCCTCTACGGAAAAACCTCACCCCACCCCACCCCACTCCCGGCCCCCCGCCCCCCCCCCCCATGTTTGTTGTTCTACATCGAGGGACCGCGACGTCCTCCTGCGGAAGGTCTTGCAATTCAGGCAGGGCCTCCTGTGCGGAAAACAAAACGGCACGTTTTGACCGAAAGGACGGCTCGGAAAAAACAACGCTAGCCAAGGGTTAGGGGATTAACAGGGTTCCCTGGATTTCCCTTTGGAAGAAGGTAAACCACAGTTTTTGGGCCTTTTTTGAGACCAACCCACAGAATTTGTCTACAGTGGCAGGCTGGCGGGAAACAACGCCAGTTTCTGCTCTGATAACCCCCAGACAGTGTCAAAATTAGCCTCGGAATTTGTGCCCCAAGGCAATTTTGAGAACGGGCCCCTCAAACGCAACCGCTTTAAGGGACTCAGAAGTAAGAGTAAGTCAAACGTCCGGAAAATAATCTAAGGTCACTGAATCTCCGTTTCATAGCCGAACTGGAGCCAAGCCCAAGTGAGCGACCAACACCCATGTTGGTAAAACAGAGCTGGCAGCAATCCAGGATCGTTTCACCCGTCACCCGAATCCACGCCGCATGCCCGCCTCTCCAGCCTGATGCAGGGTGGGAAGCCGACGGAATCGGAAATGCCCCACTGAGAATCGGAGCTAAGTCATGGCTCTAACCCGAGGCCATGGTTGCCAATTCCAATCGGGTTCTAGGGTTGCTAATATTGAGCTTCGTCCGCCTAGCACACCCCTTTTCTGGGGTGATGTGTGCAGGGGGAAGATGGAAAAAAACAACATATATAAATACATAGAAGGAACTCTGGGCTGCCAGCCAGAAAATCCAGTCCCACTACTGGCAGTTGTCGGATGAAACATGGCACAGCTCCAACCCATTTTGAGACATACCCTCTGCTTACCCGCAGAAAAAAGAGTGGGATTGGAGCCCCTGGCCAGCACCGCTTCTTGGACTTGGGGCTTTGGACACGGTTGAACAAACATGGAGCGTGATTGCTGCACGTGGCTTCCTATTCGCCACTGGATACCACGGGACATGGATGGATGTGGAGGCGCCCAACATACACATACACCTTCGTAAGACAGATAATAACCCCCCTATTCCCACTTGTTCAAGGGTAAGATGTGAAACGGCGCCAGTCCCTGACGAAAAAAGGAGGTGCTTACCACGGAACACGCAGTTCTTCCAAATATACCAACCAAGAAAAGTGTGCACGTGGCGATTAAATAGCGGGATGGTTTGGGCACATGCTCAGCCTGTTCAGCACTTAAGTACTTCCTTTGATCTAAAGTAGCGAAATTGGGGGGAAGTTTACCACCACGGGGCTCAAAAGCGAGACAGCTACCGAAGAGGGTCGCACTCAAACCTTGCACCACTTGAGATATGCTGTGCACAACAACAAAAGGAACAAACCGACAAACAAAAATCGCCAGAAGACCCTTTCAAAATCAGCCTGGAACTGCAATGATGATGAATCTGTCCAAATAATATAGGGGCTGAAAAATTACACACTTGATCTTAGAACGGTTTTGAAGTCCTCCAAACCCCTGTTCTAACTATTTGGGTATGATTTGCAATTGGGAACCCGTTGGCTGGACATCATTTCGGCCGGGTGGGGGGGGGGCGGGGGGGTTCGTTGTTCCACAGTAAAGTTCATACCCATTTAGGCCCGTGCTAAATTTCGCTTGCGCAGTCTCGCTGCGGAACCGTAGATATCGTAGATCCCTGCGCGCCTGGGATTTCGTCTCAGCCAGCAAGCTGATGTAATTACCTCAGAGGCCCAAATACCCTCTGAAACAAACATCGGGCCAAGCCCTTGTTGAAACATGTAACAGCCCTTGCTTGAAAACCTCCTTTCGGCTTGCCTTTAAGAGAAGTGGACCGAATCGTGTTCAAGCCGAATCTAACGTTTTGCTGTTTCAACTCGGTCCAAAATCTCAAGCAAGCCGTCCAAATTGCAGTTCTTGGGATACCCTTTCTTCGCTCCATAGTCATTTGCGGCTTTGCGAGCCGTTTCTCGGGTCAAGCCCACAGAGAACCCCGAGACTGCAACTTGGCTGACGAAAACGCCAGGGCCCCTTCGCGTTTCCAACCCCCGGGCGAAAGGAACGGATTCACAAGGTCAACACTGGCGAGAGCTGAGGCCACAACACAGGTTTCGGGTCAAGAGGTAGCCACAGCCAGGGGTGTAGACAGGGTAAGTCTCTTGACCTGTCAGCTGCGCAAAGACCTGAGCACGAGGGCATGGGTGAATCTGACGTGGGATGTGTTTGATGTCTGACTCATAAACCACCTACAGGGGTGTGTTCCATGCGGGTTGGCAGATACTTCCATTTGGTCAAAAAATCGGGTATCGGCGGCATGCGCTCTGCGCTCCCCTTCCAGGAGGAAAACGCGTCAGAATCCAAAGTTACAGCAAGTGAACTGCTGAAAGGAAATTTGGAGAACATGCTCTAAATTGCTAATTGCTGAAGTCTGATTGTCCGGATCCGACCACCGATTGAAAGTTTTTCGTACCTGACTTAACGTGATTTTTGTCGACTCCCCTGCCTCAAACAATGGGGAAACAAACCATCAAGTTCAATCAATAGCCAAGGCACCATTTTGGGGGGTCAAATGGGATCTATTCAGGTCCGCTGAAGACTTCCGGGTTGTGCACACTGGTTGGCTGATTTTTTGGGGACCCAACTCCAAAATCGTAGCCTCAAAAATACAACAACACGCACTTCTTGGTACCAAAGGCGGTAAGGTTACACATTCTATGGTGGCTTATGGATCTTTTAGTACCTCCACACTCGGCTTTGAAGGAATCGCCTCTCTGGGGGGGCGGTTTTCTATGCTTATCTATCCGGGGATCCCGATTGAACAGAACGACTCCTTCTTGGATAGCACTTTGGGAAACAGAAGATGGGAAAAGGTGGTCGTTGCTCTTGCTTCCTGGCCAGTTCAAACATGTAGGATCCCTAATCTGATGTTCCATAACCGTAGCGGGACACCGCTATAAAAAGGGAAACCTTTTTACCATCTGGCAGGATTGAACCCGGAGTATGGTTGATGCAACAACACGCTTAAAAGGGACGGAACGCGCACGGCTTGAAAAAGGCGGCCCAACTCGCCGTTCCCAAAACGCTTGGTAAAAGTCAAGAAGCCTGAAAACCATCCACCCACCAACCAACCAACCCAACCCAACCCAACCCAACTCAACTCAACCCAACCCAACTCAACCCAACCCACCCAACCCAACCAACCAACCAGCCAGCCACCCACCCACCAGCCAACAAAACTAATGGAGCCAAGCCCAAAACCCATCGGCCCATCGGCCCCCCGGCCCATCGTCCCGGGCTTCCGCGCTGAGTCCTCGTTGCGCCCCCCCGCGCCCTGCGGCCTTCCATGGCGCCGCACCTCCCCCGCCTGCACCGCGCGCCTCGAGGCGAGTCCGCGAGGGCGAGGTCGAAGGACGCAGATTTCGGCCATGGGAAAAAGCGGCGATGGATCGGATTAGGTGCCGCGCTTCCCATCAAAGAGCCGATGGTCTTCTGCGAACTGCAGCAGGCGGTCCAGAAATATCCAGGAATCCGTGTCCTTGGGCTGAGAAAACAAATAATTGCTAAGGGAGTCTCCACCAGTCCTGAGATGCATTGATGATCCTTTTCGGTGGTGGTGTGGGTAGTGGAAGCCCCCCTTAGACCCAGCAAGGATCAACCTGGTACACTGCACACAATGACAGCCTGAATCATTGGAGTGGGGTTGTGAGGGTACTGTAAAACCACGCTACCGCATGATCACAGTATACTTACAATGATGCGGCCGCTGACACTACCAAACCACCAGCCCCTGTGACAGCTGCAAGGCACACACTGCATGAAAACTAGTTCTCGGCATGGCTTTTAGTTGTTTGATCTTCTGAGACGTGATCTGGAGAAGCTCCTGGAGAATGTGATTTGGGATCCGCGGATCCCGAATCCCGAAACCCAAGATTGGATTTGGATTCGGGATTCGCGAATCCAAGGCCCGGAGCCCCGAAACCAGAATCCCGAATCCAGGTTTTTGTTCTGCTGTCTGCAAGCCCCAGGGGCTAGGTGCCAAATTTTACCGTAACTTTTTTGGGGGGAGGGTTCCCCATACTAAAGTAGACTACAGGAAAAAAAGGGTACCCTTATTCAACGAGGGTAAAGCCCCACAGCCAGGGCAGTGCCTCTTGATCTCTGACCCGGCCTAACTCAACAGAAGATCTGTCGCGGGTGTGGCAAAGCCTGAGTATCAAATGAAAAACATTGTGACATAGCTTGCTTGTCCGCCTTTCAACCGCCGAAGGCAAAGGCGCTGCAAACGGAATGGACAGTCCAACCCCTTCAAGCCACTCAGCCCAGCCCAGCTTGCATTCAGTCTCAAACGCCACACCGACTTGGCGAAGCATTGCCCGGTCAACTTGGAAGCGCAGCTTGCCTTCCCTAAGTCTGCTGCGGTACTCAAACCTTAGGCCACGAATACCTAAAAAGACGGGTCGTACTCGGAAAAAACGGGTTTTCAACATTGTTTCCGAAGAACACGTTATGACAAGACAAGCGGGCTTGGCGAATTCAAGCCCGTAAGCAACCCGCAAAAACATAGTACCTTTCCTTGAAAGCCCCGTATTAAAAAAAACAAAAAAAAAGATGCTTGAAACCCTGTTTTTCCTCAACAACCGTATTTGTTTGGGCTACCTGCTAAATCAACCTCCACCATAGCCAACCCTAAACCAACCCTAACCAGCCCTAAACCAACCCTAAACCAAGCCCAGATCAACCCCAAACCAAACCTAAACCAACCTTAAACCGACGCTCAGCCAACCCTAAACCAGCCCCTAGACCAACCCTAAACCAACCAAACTGGTGGGATTCGCAAATCCCAAATCCCGCGCGGCGAAGCGATCACCGGATCGCCACTTGATCTTTTCATGTTCAGTGTAGGGCTGCAAAAAGTCAACAGTTTTTTGTATCCAGACCAGCAATGAACAGCAACTGCAGCCCCGTCCACGGGGAGTCCTCCCATGGGCGTCAGCTCTTCTTGGGAGTTCCGTGAATGAAGGTTTTCTCCAGGGGTAAAAGGTTCTGTGGCAGAAAATTTCCAAAGTGGCAATCAGAACCCGAAGGCATAGCTGGTGGACCTGAATTCTCTAACCTCCACAGCAATTGGGATATTGAGTGAGTCCATCACTTTCGGCTCTCGGGGACTCTCTTTAAAGCCAGGCTCCCAACAAATCGAACCCCCATTTTGACCACCGAACCGCTGTCCCCGCTTCGTGGCCATGTGTCGGCCTTGAGCAGCAGATTGAAGCTGTAGCGCCCAACAACCTCACTGAGGGGTGAGGTGCTGTTTTCTTTTTTTTGCCTGGCCTGTTTCGTTTGTTTTCTCGCCTCGGTTGGCTTCCCCTTGGACCTAGGGCTGCCTATTGGCTCTGAGTTGGTCGCAGTTGGCACTTGCTCCGAGCTGGTTGAATTGCGGAGGGTGTTCGGCTGGCTTCGCCATCGACAAATGGCCATGAACTCTAATAGGGAACCACCATAACCACCTCAAAAGTGATTGGACATGAATCCCCGCTTGAATCATGTCCACCAAAGGGCAAATCAGGAACTTCTGACCAACGCTCATGCTAACACCTCCCTCAGGCGCGCACGTAGTGGATGCCGCGGCGCACCTTTTCCGCGAGGCGGTCATAGTCACTGCTGCACCTGAGGCGAAGATGCGGCGGTCTCGACACCGCGAGACCTCTCTGCAAAAGAACAACTAGGTAGGGGATGAGGGAATCTCAGATGCCCAGTGGATTTGGTATGGGAAAAAAGGGCATCCTTTTGGCACACGGCGGGCGACGATTCGCCGGCTGACGGAGGGGCATGCCGCCCAACCATCTGTCCAGGCCTAGTGGGACAGGTGCCCACCAGTGACACATACCACAGACTGTGGCAGAAAGCACACGACGAGGTGAAACAGCCTCCAAGGGCAGGGAGCCCTCTCATCCAGCCCACATCACGTAGGCCCAGCGGCACAGGCCGCAAGCGCCACTGCAACCAGCGCCATCAAGCGAGGGACCCCAGGGAAAAGGCCCAATCGCGAGGGACGCGGCCCAGACGGGCCGCCCGCATCCGAGTCCTCTCAAGGAAGGCATCTTCCTCTGGAGTGCACAGCAGGCGCACTCCAGAGAAGGCCCCCCTGGGCCACGCCAGGCCCGCATACGCACCCAAACGGGGCTCCCACTTGCCTGGAAAAGCAAGAGGGGCCCTCCGGGTGACACAACGCCGAGCTGCTTTGAAGTGCACCAGCAGGTCCTGCACCGTGGCAGCGCGGCCGTCCTGATAGGGCAGGATGACGGGGTAGCGCCTCCACACCACCAACGCAACCGCCAGGCCAGGCTGAAAGGCCTCCTCAGCGCGTAGCCAAACTGCACCATGAAGGAAGCTGCTCCACGCCTCCCAGGACGAGGCACCCATAACCCAATCATCAGGCTTCCCCGGCGGGGGAAAAGCAGCGCAGAAACGCGGAGGGCCATGGCACGGGCCCGGTGCATACTCCGGGGGAGGGGCAGGAGCCACAGGGCACAGGGCTTCACCAGGGTCAGGGGCAGGCACAGGGGGAAGGGGGGTGCGCGGCAGGGCAAGAAACAGGCTCTGCAACCACAAGTGACGGCGGTAGGTGGCGAAGAAGAGAGCATCAAGCCTGCGGGCAGGGACAGCCAAGGAAACCCGAGCGGCAGACTTGGCCGCAAGGTCAGCAGCATGGTTGCACCGAGCATGCAGGGCCTCAATTGGATGAGTATCAGCCGAGATGACCACGTGGCCTCGAATCCAATGAAGCTCAAGGATGAAACCACCCACAGCACGCGACCGGACAAGAGACCACAGGACCTGCCAAAGGTCAGCAGCCGCTATGTGGGGAGCAACCACACCAGCCGCACAAATTGCCTGCCACGCCTGGACGGCAGACTGGGAGTCGGTATGCACAACCAGGTGCCCCCGAGCGTGCATGGCCGCACGCACAATGGCATACACCTCCGCACGATAGTTGTCCGCAAAAACACCCGGAACCGCACCAGCATCGACAGTGGCGCGCGACCCAGACACGACGGCATAGCCGGCAGCGGCCAAGAAAGGGTGCTGCGGCAAGTAAACGCTACCATCAGTCCAGAGGTGAGTGGCGTGCCCAAGGCCATGGCGCGGCCAAGGGGAAGTAGGAGGCCACGGCTGGGCAGCACAGAACGCCGACTGCAGATCGGCAGGGACCTCAAGCAGACCATGGGTGGCAAAGGCAGGCCCCTGATCAGGAACAAGAGGGGGGGGAGTGCCAACCTCCTCAGGCAGGGCCTGACACCCAACGAGGTGACCAATGGTCTCCTGTTCCCGCCCACAATACCGACAGAGGGGGCTACCAGACAGGCCCGAGGCATGGAGCCGGTCCGCAGTGACAGCCGAACCAACAACAACCGCCGGGGCCACAGCCTTCCTGGAGGGCAGGAGACGGGAAAAGGAGGTCCACCGCGGGCACGGGGGAACACTCCAGGGAGAGCGAGAAAAGGCCACATCCAGGAGACCAGTAGGACCATGCGCAATGTCCGCACGCTTGCCCCGGCAGGCCCTGGCATAGGCATGCTGAGGAATAGTCCACTGGAGCAAACGCTTAAGCGAGCGCAGAGACATGCCAAACAGGGAGAGCCAGGGGCCATGATCAAAGGCAACGGAGGCAGGAGCCTGAAACCGGAGACCGCACGCAGTGAGCGCCGACACAAAGGTGGCCACAAGGGTGGAAGGCAGCAGGCGCTGATTGGTAAAGGCGATCCGCCACTTGAGGCTGAAAACCTCCGAGCGCTGGAGATGGGCCGCAACATTAAGAATAGTGCGGTATGGCAGCGCATACTCAGGATGGACCAAGTGGCCGGGGTGGACAACCGCGAGCAGGAGTTCCCGGGACCTCCACATGGGCCGACCATCCCAGAGCACTGAGGCAACCTCCGAAGCCAAGGCAGAAAGGATGCGCTTGGGCACAAAGTTGAGCTCAGCAGCATACGACAGCATGGGCATGGCCTTGCGAGCAACATAGGACGCTTTAGAGGCAGCAGAGAGCGGAAGGCTCCTGATGGCCCGGAGTGCTCGCCTGAAGCTCGCAACAGCCGGTGCACGGGCATCCCGGGTACCGCGGAGGTCAAGGTTGATTGTGACCCCCAAGGGGCGCAAGGCCTTCAGACGGGGAGCCTGCGGCAAGGCAGGCTGAAGCTCCGCCACACAAGGATCCTGAGTGGCCCACCAACCGGACTTGTGGAGGTTGAACTGCTGGCCAGCGAGGGAGTCAAAAAGAGACGTAGCACGGACGGCCTGGACCAAGCTGGGGATCGCATCCAAGGTGGTCACGGTCATATACCCGTCATCAACAAAGACACGGGGTGTGACACCAGGGAAGTGCCGTATCAAGAGGGACCACGCTGTCATCAGCACATTTGCCGCAAGCACGGACATGGAGCACCCCTGGGCAATACCATTGTGGTTGGCCAGGGGCTCAGGGTGAACCGCTCCACGCCAGGACAAAAAGCGACGAAAGCCCTCGTAGTTCCCACACCAGGCGCGAGCAACGGCCACAGGAAAACCCAAGGCAGTGAGGAGCGCCACAATCTGCCGAGGCATAAGGCGATCAAAACACTTGGAGCGATCAACCTGGATGCCCGCAAAGGGGGCGTCAGTGGCACGCGCCTCATGGAAATCCAGCGCCATGTGATGGGTGATATCCTCCACACGGCGACCAGGGACACCACCGACAACCTCAGGCGGTAACACAGCCCGTTGCCACGAAGTGGAGGCTCGAAACCTTGCCGACGACCACGCCAGGTAGCAGATAGGAAGGACGGCAATGAGCCTCTTGGACAGAGGGGCGGGGCCAGCACCCTTGTCCAGAACAGCCAAGCGAGCAGTGCCGAATATGCGCGGCATGGGCCACCGGCCCAGCTCCACCTGCTGAAGAAGATAGGCGAGGAGCCGGAACACAGGGATAGGCAGTGCGCGGAGCTCAACGGCCCTCCACCCGTCCAAGCCAGCAGACGAATCAGGGCTCCTGCGAGCAACAGACGCAGCCAGGTCCTCAGCAGACACGGGGTCCAAAACCAAGGGAGAGGCACGCTGCTCAAGGAGATGCTGGACAGGGCGCATGAGCGGATCCACAGGAAAGTCCTCCGCATGCACCTCAAAGATAGTGTTCCACTGGTCCGCAGCGTGCGCAAGGGCGACTGCAGGGTGGTACGCCGGGGCACCATCAGGACCAGCCAGGGAGTTGGAGTGAGCAGCCAGGGTGGCACTGCGCAGGTGAGCGAAGACCTCCTTACCTGAGTGAAGGGCCGAATGGCGGAGACGCTCCTTCCAACGCGCAACAGCGGCTCGCTGCCGCGTGAGGTGGGCATCACGGAGGGCAGCCTCAACCCTCTCACACAAAGGGGCAACACCCACCGGGGTGAGGTCCTCAGCCGTATAGGCAAACCGAAGCTCCCGAGCGACACGGCAAAAGCGCCTAAGGGTGCGGTGCGTGACCTGAGCATCAGCAACCGAGGTAAGCGGGAGCCGCACCAACCGATAGAAGAGCTCCCGCGACAGAGAAAGAAGTCTAGCCAAGCGGGCGATGGGATGGTATGAAGGAAAGGGGCGCCCGACGGCCTGCTGGGGGCGCAGCGGGGGCAGGGTACCCCGGCAACGGCGGCCGCGCCCCCACCGGGCACCAGACTGGAGAAGAGTGGCAAGCGCAAAGTCACAAAAAAGAGACCAAGCATCCTCCACAGTTCCAAGGGAATCCAGGGCGGGCCGGTACGTAGACTGCCACATGTCCTCGGCAAGAACAGCACGCTGGTCCTCAGAGACAAGCCCAGACAAGTCGAGCGGAGCAAAGGCAGCGAAGGCAACAGCCCGTGGGACCTCATCCGGAGCCGCAAACCTCAAGGTCACAGGGGCATGCTGAAATCCACACAAGGGCTCCACTTCAGCCGACTGGAGCAGGCGAGAAGCAAGGCCGTTGAGCAAAACCGTGTCGATGGCCGTACGGGGGCCAGACCCAAGCCAGGTCTTGTCACGACTGAAAGTGGGCTCCCTCATAGTCGCCTCCGTCGGAGGCTGCAAGGGGTCCAGCCAGACCCCGGTAGCAACAGCATCGTCACACGCCGCGTATGCCAAGGGGTCGGCCTGGAAATCGCCGGCAAGGACCACAGGGTGATCAGCAGTGTACTGGGCTGCAAACTCAAAGATGGCAGCGAGGTAGTCCTGATTCTGGCTGAAGATCACATCATCAGAGGAGGCACCCGAAATCGCATAAAAGTTGAGCGCAAGCATGCGAAAAGAACCAAGCGTGGCCCACACAGCATGGAAGCGGCCAGAAGCCAGTAGGGAGGGCAGAAGCCCAGATGCATCCTGCTGAGGAGCAACAGGATGAACAACGCATTTCCAGGCCAGGGAGGCAACACCCCCCCACTCCACCCGACGGACACCATTCACGTCAGGGACAACGGGGAGCAAGGGGCCAGGCAAGAGAGAACGGCCGGCCTCAGACGCCCGAAAAGTAACAGAACGCACATTGTCAGCCGAAAGGCGGGCCTCCTGAACCAGGAAGAGGTGAGCATCGACAGAGTAGAGCTCAGGATGGGCCGCCAGAGAACCGACATTGTGGGAGCGCAAGGAAAAAGGGCCCTCACCAGGAAAGCCGCGAGTGGCAT